AATGTTGTTGCTTTCAGACGAATTCGAAAATGTGACGTTAATGTATGCGAAACACGAAAAGATCCCTATGAAGGATTTCGGCTCTGAGATTCGTGCCACGATGGATATCGATCATCTACTCAACAAATCCGTTCTATTGCTTGACCTTCAGGAAACGTCTCTTGAAGAAATCTTCGCAAAGTAAGAAAACTCAAATTGAGCACAGCTACCTGCCTGCCTCAGTGCTGGTCTTTGAACATCATGATATGACCTTAGCAAGTTCAAGTGTTTAGCACGCATATGATTGCCATAATGTTTTATAAATGAGTCGACAATTTGAAAGGAACTGAAAACGCAATCTCGCGTGATGCGAACAGTTTGAAATATGCATGAAATGAGTGCTTCACAGCACGAAATAACATGTTTTTTATGGATTTCACCTAATATACAGCATTTTCGACTTAATGCCATATGTTTATTTGTTCATATTTCGATTTTTTCTAAAATTACGGTTTCAGAATAATTCACGAAATGGATATCCAAGAGCCTGAGTTCACCAGCGAACAAGTACGGTCGGTGTTGTTCACTCAGGACGCTGGAAACCAGTGTAGGTGTTTTGATCTAAAAACAATAACGGATATTTCGAATTTTCAGTTTTTTGCGAATGCTTCACGTTCTGGGGAGTGCTTGATATGCTCTGAGAGCATATTTCATTTTCCACCCTAAAAACAAGCAGTAAATGTCTTAAATTTCAGTTCACATATTGAGTAGAACCGTGCAAAGCATATGTACAACCGGGACCATCGGAGGATCGTTCGACTATGACCAAACATGGATTTGTGCCTTGTAAGAAACTTTACTCCTTATTTCGGTGGTCAACAAAAAACTACCACTCAATTTCAATAGAGCATTTGATCTAGAGATCAATGTTTGCCTCTAATCAAAGCAGCACAATAAAGATGAATAAGCACAACGTTTTATTTACCCGTTTCATACGAACTAATTTTCGCTGCATTTCAACGTGATAGCGTGATATGAACCTTTAAATTCAAGCTGATTCACATCAGTGATTCCACTATATTCCGTACAATTCATTTATTGATGAAATTCATTGAATCACATTCTGTTTTAATCATTAATTAATGCATCGAAAAGTTCAGATGTATGCTGAACACCGTACAGCATCGACATGTAGCAATAGCGCGATTAAGTCATCCGACAAATTTGGGTCGAACAATGCAGGATCTTCGCTTCATTATCATTGTAATCGCACCCTCACGAGCGGTAATTTTTACTGGAAACTTTGAGGATCTCTCATAGTCGCATTACAGACGGATTTGTTAAATCTATTATGATTGTTATTCGTGTGTTATCATTGATCTCATATGATCAGCTGAATTGACAGCGAAGGAAGTGTCTTTCAGAAGGGAACGAAAACAGCTCTCGAGACGACAAGAACGTTTGCCACACTATTCGCCGATATGGACATAAGGCAACGACTTGTGATGGCCCAAACTGTCGATCAGTTCAGGTACTTTTTGCAACTTCAACGATACAGTATCGATCAGGCGATATGCTGCGATAGTTCGCTTGCTACAGTATCCTCCAGTGATACAGCAGTACCTCTTATCATATGCATTCAACGGCAATTTTCGAAAACTCTTTCTGGATCAGATTTTACACATGGATCTAATAATGATCNTGCGATAGATCGCTTGCTACAGTATCCTCCAGTGATACAGCAGTACCTTTTATCATATGCATTCAACGGCATTTTTGAAAACTCTTTCTGGATCAGATTTTACAGATGGATCTAATAATGATCGTTCGTAAGGCCTCAAAATTGTTTCAGATCAACGTTATTGCAAGCTGCTAAAGAGTTGGCCGTTGATCAGAATCAATGGCGTGAACGGAAGACCTCGATTCATCTGAGTCAAGCCAAAGAGCAATTGGTATTTGAGTTGTTTTTGAGTTGTTCATTAAATTTATTCCTGAAACCAATACAGTCACAGT